GCCACGGCGACGGCGGCGGCGCCCAGTGTGCCAGGAGCTGCGGGAGCACGTGGCTCGGGGGCGGCCTCAGGCTCGGACTCGCGCCGCACAGGTGGGGGAGGCGGAGTCAGGGCCGGCGTGCCGGGGAGCGGCGCCAGCTGCGGCTGCGGGAGCGGGAGGTGCTGCTCTGGGAGCGCACCGGCGAGGCAGAGGGGGAGCGCGGCGGTGAGGGAAGTTGAAGAGCCCCGCCGGCGGCTTCGACGTCTGCCACACGAAGGACGAGGAGTCCTCGGTGCGGGTCGTGGGCGGCCTCCAAGCCGAAGGCGCCCAAGAGGAGCCGCGCAGCTTCCATGAGCAGGCCTACCCCGCCCGAAACTACACAAGTCAGAGAAAACACTACGACTTGAGCCCACACTTGAGCCAAAATGGCCTTGAGCCAAAAATGGCTTGAGCCAAAATGGCTACGGAACTTGCCTTTGGGTTCGGCGGACTTTGGCTTCCCTCGGCAACTGCCGACCCCTGTGCCGCCTACCGGGCCTGCCAGCTGGCACGACACACTGCCCGCAATCCGTGCTCGCTCCCTGCAGATCGCCACCAACCTCCTGCACACTCTCGCCGCGCCGCATGCCAGTGGCTCAACTGCCCTCGCGGCGGCAGTGCAAGCCGCTGACCACCTCGCCGCTTAGCGGCTCTGGGATGCCCCAGAGCCGCGGCACCCAGCGTGCGCAGACAGGACACCGTCTCTGGGGACTGGCAGCGTTACGCCGCCCCTGCCTGTGACCAGCGCACGTTTGAGACTCATTTCGCCACCCTGCTTCCGGCATCCCGAGCACTGCTGCTGTCCCAGGCTGGGCCACACGCCGCTTGCTGCTTCACAGTCCGCCCTACCCACGAAGCAATCACCATCGGGTCGCTCGCAATGTCCGACGCAATGGCCTTCCGCTTTGGCAGACACCACCTGCGTCAGCTTTGTCACTCGCTCCGGCGAGCCGCGGCCCGGAGCTGACAGTCAGCCCGGCCTCGCCCTTCAGCAAGCCACGCGGCATAAGCGTCGCGACACTTACCCCGAGCTACTAGTATCGCGCTCTCCGCGCTGCCGCCTGGTGCCGCTGGGGTCCCGAGCCCGCCGCCTTCCTGCGGCTCCTTGCGCGAGAGAGAGCTGCACGTGCGCACGCTGACGTTCGCTCGGCTTTGCGTGCGCCCTATGTGTCTCGCTAGAGCAGCATCATTGCAGTCGCGGCGCAGAGGGCCCTCGCCAGAGCTCGCCCTCGACGTCGTCGCCTCTGCTGCCGGCGAGCCGGCTGTGCATGGGGTCCTGCAGGATGAACGCTGGCCCCACGCCCTGCCCCCAGCCGACCCCCGGCGAGGGCCCAATTCCCCGGCGAGGCCTCGACTGCCCGCGCAAACGTAGGCTGTAGCGGCACTGGGGCCGCGCTCGTAGTGGCAGGCAAAAAGTATGCGAAAAAAACGAAGGCATGACGACACAGCGGTCGCAACCTGTTACTTGTCCGCGCGGACGGAGCTGTTCGTCACTCCCGGCGTGAACACCTGAGACGAGACACTTTAAAACTTTCGGGAGTTTTCTTTCTGGCCGCATGTTGCTTCGTGATGTGATGGAAACTTAGCGAGATTTGTTTTGTTACTGCGTACCTGGGCCTCTGGTAGAGTTCTTCTTCCTTACCTCTCCCCTTCGCGGAGATGTGCGGCCCAGCATGCGCTGTCTTGTGTGCCCGACAAGCCGCCCGTTTCGTGAACGACCAGCAAACCCCACCCTCCACCCCGTGGCAGCCGCCGCCTGGTCGCGCCGTTGGTGGAGCTTGCTTGAGGTGGCTGGGCAGCAAGCCGTCGCCGGCACAGCGCTCGACCGGGCACAGCTTGCTCCGCCCGACCCCAGCCAGCGCGGTGAGCCACGTCTTCGAGCGCGTGCTCGACTTGGCGCCCCCCACAGGCCCCAGTCGGATGCCACTGCTCGGGTGAACGCGGCGAATGACGTGGAGTAGGTGGTCAGCCTCCCCTTGATTGGACGGCTACCTGCTAGGGAAAAGGTCCGCGTAAACAAAAATGGGGTTTAAAATCGCGAAAATAAAGTTCAAAGTTCAGAATTTATTGATTCACTCAGAAAAGATCTGTGATTTGTAAGCAATTTACTTTTAGACCCTTGTTCTAATAGTAACTTTTTACACGGTTTGGAGGCCATACACAAACAGTTATCTCGAATAAAATTAAAAGTTATTCTTGCCATAAAATAAAGCTAAAAAAGGTAAAAGCTATTTCGGTCGTAAATAACAGTTATTTCCATCCTAGAAACACATACTGTCACATACCTTATATAGAAAAAGTTAGCCCTGCCATAAAATTACAGCTATCCCTGCCATGAAATAACACGTACACCGGATAAAATAACAGTTATTCCTGCCAAAAAAACTTTTTGCCATAAAATAACTCTGACCCCTGCCAAAGACTTAATGATCTTAATGCTGACCTTTGGCATATACACTACAGAATCCAATAATTGTCGCCGAGATCGAACCAAACCTCCAAGATCAATGTTCCGAAACCGCAACATGTCCCAAGTAGGACCGAAGGGCATCCCCATCAATACATCAAAGAATCACACAGACCCAAGACGAACTACCCCCGAATAGCAGAAGCAGAACAAATCAGAATAAATCCAAAGAAAGTTTGTTTAGGGGGGATGTCTGGCTGGAAGGGGTTTGTCAAGGCATCCTAGGGGCCTACAAGGGTGTTTGGAAGCTATTTTATTCTGCCGGAATGGGTCTTGTCATATAACCTAAGCTATTGGGTGGAGAGGCTAAAAAAAGCAGTTATTCTGGGCCAATTCTGGGATAACAGTTATCGGTGCGGATTACTGTTATTTTATTCCTGCCTGGGGGAGGGGGTTCAAAGGGGGCCTGTTTGGGGGGGCTTTGTTGGTGCCTTGTTGAGGGCCTCGTGGAACCTTGTGGGACCTCTATTTCGTTTTCGGGTTTGTTTCAGGCCTGTATACACAAATTTGTCGAACGTGCTGGAGCCTGTATCCGACACTTTACAAACCAGCAGCCCCATGGGGTAACGACTGATTCTGATTAATGTTGCATCATACTGCTGGTGCATCCGTGGTATCGCAGAAGCATCTGGCAATCAAGGAAGCCATACCAATCTAGAACGAGAAAGTCTCACTTAATCAGCATTTAATCAGCTATAGAGGTGTCACTTTATTCAACCGACACCGTTTATCTTGTCCCACCGATAACCGTTCTTCTATCCCACCGATAACTTATTTTATCCCACGGATAACTGTTTTTCTTTTCTATCGGTAATTTTTTTTCCAACCGATAATGGTTATCCCAACGGTCTAGGAACATATCTTGTAAAGAGGAAGGGTCGGTTACTGTCGGAGGCAACCCCTTAAAGAAACTTGTTGAAAACTTAGTCAACGCGTGACCTTAACCAAAACATCTTAACAGGATTGCACGTGGACGTCGGAAGGGACCGAAAGGGGCCGGGGTGAGGGGTGGATTGTGCTGGAAACTCCCATTGTTGTAGTGGTTTCGCGAGCGAAGACAGGTTGGAGTGGTTGCGCCGAATGCCCTGCAAGGCCAGATTTCGGATCCGCACACACAGATACAACCGCGACTGGGAAACATCATGATAGACCGAGGTGCACAACGATAAGTTGGCGAGATTTTAGATGGCCAACTCAATATGCAAACAGCAGAAAGCAGCTGCTGCCAGTTCTAGGGTAGGGTTGGGAAGCATAACAGATGTTTTCAAGCCCTTGCCCGTTTGTACACATGTGTTGTGGTGGACAGTCCCTGCCACTAGCGCCATGGCACTAGATTTGGTTTCGCTGGCCGATGAGTTGGCGGAGGTTATGCTGGATGGGGCCGGGGCCCAATGCAGCATAGCCAAAGACACAGACTGTGGAAGCTGGTCGCTGCAATGTGCATCCGGCTCTTGTGTTTGGACGTTGTACGTGAAAGGAATTGGTCAGCTTCTTGTCGCAAGTCTGTTGAGTCAAGCTACCAGAAGTGGAATGCACGTGTCCTGTCGCCATTTCGGCACACAGCTGTGGCACGCGGCCCCATTTAATGGATGGGGCACGTGCGGCCACACCTCCCAGCGAGAGGCCGATGCCGTGAGTTCCGGGTGAGCCGTTTCCTTCGTCATAAACATGTGAACCCTGCAAGGTTCGAGTATCGATTGACTGCCTTAGCGCCACCTACATCGGCAAGTGGGGACCCGCCAATTGGCAAAATAAGTTCCGTTTTGATGATAAACACGCCAGCACATTGCAAAGAGGTTGGGACCATCATCCCGCCATTTGCCGCCGCCGATAGCGGCGCCGGATCAGCTAGCACCAGTGTCTCGCCGACGTAGTGGTTCTCCTTGGTCTGTGTTACCGGCGGTGCAACACTTGAAGGAGCTTGCACACACATTTTTTGAATTGCCATTACATTGGCCGAATGTGGCAGCAGAAGTTCTCACATGTTCAGAAAGGTGCAGCGTCCACGGGCACGGTCGGCCAGCCCTGCCCCGGGAGGGGCGATTTGCGAGGAGGACTGAAAGGGACTTTCACCGTTTAACTGTGAGTGACAAGTTTGCAGAAGATGAACATCTATTAACACATACGGTTTCCCTTCTATGCCCAGCTGTGTTTTCTGCGACAGACACATTCAAGAGATTAGCGAACATGAATCACTCCCGCAGCTTTGGCAGGGCGAGAGGGAAGAAAGAATCACACCGTGGTGCGGTTTGTGCATGTCCATCAGGAAGAGACAGCACGCTCACGAAGCCCGGTGCCACCTCCAGGCGTTGTTGCGGCTTGGCGAGGGCTTATGATTAGCAGCTGCTTGTGATGTTATCTTGTCGCAGACATACCCATCACGAAAAGCTGCTTCCGCAAATCTGCGATTTTTTGCCGAATCGCACGTCATGGAACAATTTGCGGATTTAGCGGTGAGCCTCAATTCCCAGCCTCGACGCCAAACCCAAACACAAGCTTTGGTCCCAGACGGTACGGACTCAACCCCTGGCTTACAAATTGAAGGTGAGATTTGCAGATGCCTCTTGATGTTTGTCTAATTCCACCAAATCATGGCACCGAAACCGCCTATATGATCCGCCCCCAGCACGACTTGACTGAATTAGTCGCAGGTGCCGAGGGGTTCTTGCACAATTATTGGTGTTTGTAGGTTTTTACCGTCTGACGCGGAAGGATTCGCCAAGCACTGAAAGCAAAAGCAGCGGCAAGGCTGAGCCGGGAGTAACGGTCATGAGATGTCGGGGGCATATCGTTCCAAGCTGTTGTTGCTCAACCTTTTTCATTGCTGACTCAGGGCCAGGAGAAGAAAAAGAAGAAGAAGAAAAAAACAAGAAGACGGAGCTCGGACGCTGCAGCAAGTGAGGCGGTAGTGCAATTAAGCATTGGCTGTCCCATGTTGCCGCATTTTAGGTGGCCAGTCTCAATAGCTACTCCCGCTTTAATCATAGTCAATGCATGGGGGGATATGCGCGTATTCTAGCAATCGGATAGGGCCCACTAAATCTGCAGAGGATGGGGTTCTAGTTCGTGCTTCCTTGTTTTCGATAACGGGGAGCAGGGCAGGGTTGTAGAAGGAATTGGGGGAAGCAGATTCGGATGAGCAAGAGGCAGTATTCGTTGCAGTCACAGGAACCTTCGGATTTCTGGACTGTTTCTGGACTTCAGGATTTCCGGCTTGGGTTGCGGATCTTTTGCCCTCCAGCCCTCTAGCCTTATGTCGGTCTCGGGCTGTGGGGAGCTCCGGCATTGCGAAGAAGCACTGGCAAACGAATTGCAATTAAATTCAGGATTGCGTGTCCCGAGAAGCCGTAGGCCGTCTGAAATTGCCGTCCAGCAGTGCGCCAGCACGGGCAATGCGAAAGCGAGTCGCATGCCAGAGAAGCCAGGATAGACCGCGCAGGCATTTACAGGTAGGGAATCCAGAAGCCAACTACGGGGCGCCAGGAACGCTGAAGCTGCAACTGCAAGATATGGCAACTCTAAACATGTTCTGTTCGAGTGCTTGTGTTTCGTACATGCACTTGTGTTTGCATGTCTTCCTGTTGACCTTCTTTTTCGTGGATATGTTTTCTGGGTTCTGGCTTGGTGCAGTGTTTGCGCTGTTTCATTAAATGCATGTTCGGGGCTTGCTTGCGCAGCCTGGGGGCTAATTACTCCATCGAGTCCTGTTCTTTGGTCCATGCCAAGCCTTACTAGGAAACAAAACAGAATGGAGTTTGGCAGTTGTCGGCCTCTGGCCTTCCGAGACAGGCGGCAGCAGAGGAATCTTCCCGTCGCTTGGCATAAGGCTGTTTGTCAAGGGCTGCGTGGTGTGTCTGTGTCTGTGTGTGTGTGTGTGCGTGTGCGTCGAATGTCATATGTGTAACGTTTACATTGTTTACGCTCGCACGCACGGACACGCAGTAATCAGAACAGTTCCAAGCATGATCATCGCAACCGGAATGACGTGGCAGTGAAATGGGAAGGGAATGTGCTATCAAAAACCATTGCAAAGCCAAGGTCCCATGGTACGTATCGACCTCGGCAATTTTTCTTCGGCCGCTTCTCCAACAAGCGGCAGGGATTCTTCAGCTTCTGAGTTCCGCCAGCCTCGGTTACTTCACCGGTTCTCGAACTCATCAGTCGCGACGATTTGCAGTCATCATCTTTGTTCATGTGGCAGGGCAGGGCACCTCCTGCACAACTACCTCACCGCAATAGTTTGCAGCAGTTGTCCTCGTAGCGATAGCAGCAGGTAGTGGTATCTCAATCGGAATGGTCATTGATGATGAATCAAGCTAGGGCGGATTGGGCCGGCCGGCCTGTCGATTACAACCGGCGGGCAGGTGTGCACAGCCCCGGCTTTGCAGTGGGCCGTGGGCCCGATTTCGTTGATGCCCGCAAGACCAACGCACCCGAGGAAGAGATGGAGGGAGCAAGCCCTCGACCACCATGCCGATATGGAGAGGAATGCCTCTTGGGGCGATCGTTCATACTGCAAAGGGTTGAATTCGAGTTGAAGGCGATTGTGTGGTAGTTGGAATTGGTCAGCGGTCAGCCTAGAGACATGCTTTCGAGAGAGATGTGCTTCAGCACCTTTGCAATTTGTAAAGCATGATTAAAATCGGGGTTAGCAGCAAACTGAGGCTATCGAAAGAATCCAATGCATCGGAAGCAGTGCCTGGTTTCAGATCAGATTAATGATCAATGCCTCCCTGATGATCCCTGATGATTTCCTGCATATTTGGCAGAGTATCCCACAAGTGCACCCGCTCAAAGTATCCAGAGGAGCGTTTGCAAGCTGGGATGACGATCCCGGTTCCCTATAGTTCCCTGGTGTCCATCTTCGGAGTCTCCAGCAACCCAGGTGACCCTGGACGGACCTACCCTCGAATACCCTGCAAAGTTGCAACTACTGTAGAATAAGTATCCCTGGAGTGCCCATGCCCAAAGTGTCCCGCCGAGCACCTCCGGAATGCCCAACCCCTAGAGTACCGACCGAGAGCAATCTCTTCTATCACAACCGTCATACAATGGGCGACATGTCATTCTCATCTCCTCGCTCCTTCGTGCTCATCCTTGCAAGCACTGTCTCCCACCAGGCAGAGTATCTCACGCGCATGGGGGCGTTCGAAGTGGATGGTGAATGAGGGTGGATGGTTTTCGCATGGGACCACCCGGTTTTTGGGTTAGTTTGCTGCGTCTCTTGCGTTTGCACGCAAGTTGCCGCGGGCTTCCATTAGTGCAAGTGGCTGGATCTTAGGACATCTGCAGGCTGGACTCACATACAAATTAGAACTCTAGAAGAGGGGGACGTATCAATGATATTTTCGACTTTTTTTGCAAAGTTGCAGAAATGTAATTATTTTCTCCTCCCCCGTCTGGAGCGGAGTCAAGTGCAAGGTTTTGCCATCCCGGTGATTGGGACCATCCAGATACGCGGACATCGGGCGCTGCAAGCAGCAGCACACCAGCACCAGTCTCGCGATTCGAAGGCCGGCGGCCAAGGGTCTCGCAAGGATTCAGGCTCAGAACTGGTCCACGTGCTGCTATATTCTAGTTGAATGTGCCGGAGGGCTGCAAGAAGGTTCAGAGTGCTTTCGAAGCACAGTATGAGGTGTTTAATTGCATTGTCATGCAGATTGTCCTTTGCGTGCATTAAGTGCACTCTTGGGCAGTGTGTCCGGCCGTGCAAGAGTTGATGACTCCATTCCAAAACACGCACAGCTGCCGCGGCCACAGGGTTGTGTTTCCTTTTTGTGTTGGTGTGTTCTTGTTTGTTTTGGCCACTCCTCCAGTCTCGTGGGGCATTGCAGCTAGGGACTTGGGCAGTGAACCCTGCGCTCGAGCCTCTGGCAACCAAATAACCATGATCATCATCGCTTCAGTAGTCATAATACTCAGAAGTCCTGATCATCGACATGGTTTTCGAAGGTGAAACAATGCAAGTGGTGGGTGCCGAAGCCACGGAACTTGGGAGGGACACTGAGCATGCAATCGTACGACCTTGCCTGCGGCCAGCTGATGGCCATGTTTCCTAGCCCTGCGAAGTCCGAATGAGTGTGGGAGAGGTAAGACCACAATCTCTACGGTACTAGCTCTATACCCGAGCTGATACATCAAACGCATGATGCATGAGCCGTAGCTTTCCAGGTTTCCAAGCTGAAAGACAGCATGGGGCACAATGTCATAAGACGAAAAAATGCAGCCGTGCACGCAAAGATCGCATCCGTCAGCAGTGAAACCTTAGCTTCCGAGAGGGTCATCGAAGCATATCGAAGCCAGCGAACAAGATACAAGTGACGCTACGCAGGTGCAGAAACTCATGTTAGATTCACCTAAATCAAAAGGCTTGCGTTCAGGAAGTATCTTCCCAATACCTTTTGCATCTTCAGGTGACATCCCGGCAGACTCAGACTCTGTGCTCCTTCGGGCACCGGACCCGGAGCCACGGCCGGCCTTGAGCCATGGATACTCGAACGCGACATGAGAAGAATTCCCAGGCTGTAATGTCACGGTTTAGGGTTTAGGGTGAAGCCCTCGACCCTGAAATGTTGAATCGCTGGCTCCGGAGCCCGCAGCCCTCGCGCCAAGATGTCCGGCGGAGGAATCTCATTCCTTCGAATCCTGGCATCCTCTGCAGGCAATCTGAAAAAAACAGCAGGTTACGGGCCTCCGGCAGATGAGAAATCACGTTCGGGTTCGGAACGCTTCCAGCAGGCAGGACTGCACATGACAAGCCAGCTGCCACAGGTTCAGCCGCAGGGTGATTATTGGTAAACAATCACACCGTTACAACCAGCTTAGCACCTGAAAGGGTTACGGTATCGTTGATGGTTATCCCATGGAAAGTTTCGTCCGAAAGCATTGTTGTGTGGGTCACAGGACTTTGTGGACTGTTTATATTTTATCAAAACGGCACGTATTCTCACGTGGCTACAGCATGACTGCACTCAGGAGGGGGCACAGGCGAGATGTCGGTCCGGAGCTTCAGCGTGCCCTTAGCTGGAGACGCGGGTGGCACAGAAGGTGTCACTGCAGGCGCGTCTCCATGCGGCTGTGTTTCCTGAATTTTCTCTTTGCGATATGCCCGCAATGAACTGCGCAGGGTTGCAACAGACTTTTGTAGATTCGGGTCCAAACCAACTTTGGCTGTGAAGTGCGAGCGTAGGGTCTGCAGGCTACATGGAAGCTACCATTTTTTCGCTTGAACAGTGTTTGTTGTGTGTTCATTTCTTCGGATGTCATGGAGATGCCAGGCCAGCCCGGGGATCTAGGGCTTCAAATCCGTCGCTTAAACCAGGGGAGTTGTGAGCAATGCTCGCTCAAGCGACATCGTAGGTGCACCTCGACTTATAGCCAATGTATGTGCCGTTCTCCCAGATGTTGCGTTGAGCAGCGACATGCCCGCAACTTGATTCCTGGATGTGGCAAGACGTCGGCGGAGGTCGTCACCCATGTTTTTGCTCCGGGGCAGGTGCTGAGGAAGCAACGCCAGATCCTGTGGAAGCGCACGACGAGGTGCACAACTACTCCCTTTTGCGAAAGCACACGTGCTTTCAGATTATTGTGGGATGTAAATAGTGAAGGCTCAGGACTCTTGACACTCAGCTCAAGCACTCCCCCATCGGCGCAGAACATCCTAGGACCCTCATCAATGCCTTCTTGCCTCAGGTTGTCCGTGCCTCCTCCGGCCTCAGGACCACCGACAGGCCAGCTCTTTCGAGTCTGGTTGTACTGGTATATGGGTTGTTTTAAAATAGGTTTTCAACAAACAGGTTTTTCAAAATCTTTCAGCTTCAGCGAGGCACGAGAATTTGCAACAACTGGTGGAAGAGAAGGATACAGTTGACGAGATGTTCCTTCTCGTCCGTTTTTTGGCGCTTTGCACCTGGTTCAGTTCCCTACTTGAGACTTAGACAGGCCAGGAAGGAGGCGCTTGTGGTTCTTGGGATGTCACTCTCCAATGAGGGATAAGGGTATGATGAGAGTGATAAGAGTGCAGCATATTGCTGTTCTTCTTCTTTGAGTTCTCAACTAAAGCATCTTTGTTCGCAAGCCGCCAATGTCTTGCTTTTGAGGGCTCCGGCAAAAGAAAGCCAAGATGATGTTGAGGGACGGTGCAGAGTCTAGGGAGTTCTGCTGCTTTGGGCTTGAGCTTTAGGCGTCATCTCTGAGACTGAGCTGACGCCAGTCTTGTAACCGACTGTACTCCACAAATTCCCCGGCATACTCCAAGAGGCAGCTTGCACTTCAACTGCGAGGCAGCACCTCTGGGCTCCCTATTGCTGGTAAAGTAGTGATGGTTCTTCCTGACATCGGAAGACCCTTCGCAAACCCGCCGCCCCCAAGAGAGTGGCTTCTTCAAACTGAAGCCTTAGGTCGGCTCACCCGGAAGATGGGGAGCACAGTGCTCGGGTGCCTTTGCGAGGCAGGGTCCTAGTGTCCTAGTGGTGTTTGATTCCATGTCTTTCACTGTTGTCCCCAGCACTTGTTGCTGTCCTTTGCTGTCCTTGCCACTTCCATGAGTGGATGGCATCTAACTCTAGGACTTGCTGACAGTGCAGGCTTAGAGGTGTTGCCGCTCTTGGTGCTTCAGCTTCCCCCTGCAACCCGCAAAACGCATACTCTGTCTTCTCCTCCCGCTATTTGCTACGATCTGAAGAGCCCTTGCCCGACTTGCACCGGGAGGACCAGCACATAAGCTGTTTAAGATAGTATCCCTACAAGAGGGTAGCTTTCAAAAGTTAGCAGTTTATGTTCAGGTGTTTTTTTGGACTTATTCCAGCAATCTGAAATAGCCACGTCGCCCCTAGTCAAGCATCAGACCTCCCGAAGCTTAGCGAGCACTCCAAGCCTCTGCTCACTGCAGACGACTTCGACGGTGACTCCGGCTGCATCATGCACAGATCACGGCTTCAGGGTTGTGACTGGGCGCGGGACAACTTTCTCGCGAAACCGCTCCAATGCACCCTACGCACCTGAGAGCCCGTGCTCCCCGATCCCAGCTCAGGGGTCAGGCGGGTACCAGTAGGTGGAACATCTTCGCATCTTCTTGTTTGGGCCACGGGCTTAGAAGGGCCGTGAAATCTATTGCTATCACAACGACTTGTGCTGCTAGATAGACCCTTTGGATGCAACGGCAGAGAGACAGAGAGTGAATTACGGTGATGCTTGTCATGGTCGGGAGCATCCTGGTGCGCACAAAACGGACCAAACACCACCCCCAGCAGCGCGTCCTACTGCAACATCCTTTTGGAGTCATTGGAGTCGGTAGACAAGTCTTGACGGCTAGCTGCAGGCGAGCCTGTTCAAAAACACCTTCAACGAACTGTTTTGCGCAAGCATTCTTGCATCATTAGATTCTTACTTGTTCTCCTGCTACATGTACAGACGCTCATGCACACCGACAGACGTTGAGACATGTGGTGCATAAGGGTGCATATATATATATATACACAACCTGTATGTTGGTGCGTACTTAGGCGAGTGTGTGTGTGTATGCATACACCCACACATGTGCGTTTACAGTTGCAGCCGAAACAGCAGCAGTAGGAATGCCTTCATGTTGAAAGTGTTGATCATTGATTTAACCTGCAGCATCCGCAGTTGACAGTAGACCAACCTTACTGTGTTTACGAGCATGCCCAAAGACCAGCAGTCCTTAGTCCTTGCCGACTGAGATTACCATGACAGTGATATGGGAGCTTCTTTGCGGTGATGGTGACGGTGACGACGACGATGTTCAGGCCCATGAGGTTATGATGACGATGATGCTGGTGATGGTGATGATGCTGACGATAACGAAGACGATGATGATTATTGCGCTGCCCATCGTCAACATCATCGCCATCTTGTTCCCTCGAATCTTACAGCTTCACGCTTTCACTCCGAAATCGACCTCCGCCTGCTTCAAATTCGAAACCTCAAGAATTGAATTGGGGATAAGGGCCTACTAGGGCTTATTCGGGACATGGGCCCAAACCCTGAAAGCCCTGGCCTCAGAGTTGATCCGTCCGAGCTGCAGGGGGGACCAATGCCATCGCCGAGGAGGAGGAGGCTTCTGTTGGTTCAAAAATTCAGGAACTCTTTACCTTTTTTTTTTTTGGTCGGTCACGGTTCTGGCCTTACTGCAAACCATGCCAACATGTCTATTTGACGATTTTTATCCCGCTGGTGTGATACCTGAGTCATGTCTTGCCCCCTTGGGGTTTCGCTGTTCTTAAATGTGTGTGTGTGTGATGTGACTAACCGCGAATCGGTGCGTGCCCCTGAGAACGTCCGTTCGCGGCTAAACGGGAACTGATGAGACCTAACCCCACCGCTTGTCTTGTAACACACTGCTGCTAGCGGTGCTCACAAAATCCTGTGTAAGTATGTATTTCTCTGATGGCTTCTTGTCACTCTGGGAGTATAGCTTCTCTTGCTGCTGATATAGCTATAACAAGATTTTTGCCGCCAGGACAACATGCGACAAAGAATTGAAAACGCTATTCCGTTTGTATGTCTTGCAATGCAGCTGTCATCACGTGAGGGAGACATCTTCTTTCATGTTGAGGGCTTCGATGTCCGATGGCTGCATGCTTGCATGCAGGCATGGAGGCTTGTGTCTCAGGCGTGGAGCTGTCACGGGCATGCTGAAATCCTGTACAACCTAGACAACTTGATAAAAGACAAGCTTTGCGATGAGAAGCGCATAGATGGGGGTGTGCTGCGAGATGTTCCGAAAGCTGCGAAGCGCGACAGTGCCCGGCGTGTCAGGGTTGAGGGCCTGAGGCCTACGGATTCTAGGGTTTGATGTCTTTTTGGCGGGTTAGGTTTAGGGTTTACTTAGCCGGGTGTCAGGGCCTGACCCGTGTCGCGACACCGCGGCTCCGCAGCCTCGCAGCTTCTGTCGAGTTCGCAGCTTCGCAGCGTCAATCGTGTAGGTGTCCCTGAGGCCCGACCCAGACAAAGTGCTCCTTACAGAGACTGTGTGCTGATGGGCCCTTGAGTCGTGCAGGGTCGCGAACTCATAGCCAGATGCTTTCAATGCTCTGGTCTGGCTTATGTACTCGTCCTGATCTCGTCAAAGGTATCCAGCGCGCGATGGCCTCATGTCGCCTGGTGTCATCCAACCCATCACACTTTCTCGTCTTAAGCTACAGATTTCAGCTGAACACCATACTGTAGTCTTGGCCCATTCGGACATGCTCGTGTCCAACTAGGCGATTCGCATCCCCTGTTGGGCCGTTGTTTGCAGGGAAATGAGCAAGACAAAAAGAAAAGTCATCGAGCCGGCGATTCCTGTGGATCGCGGTTTCATCCGTTAGGTTGCCGAGTCCCGACCTGATCCAGCGGGCCTCGCTCACAGAGACCGTGGCGACGTCAGCTGTCTCCAAATAGAGGTTGGATTAAGGTCGAGGGGGAAATTTCATTGCGCAGTAGTTTGCAGTATCGGCAGAGACTTGGTGATTGTAGGGATGGCATGTCAATGTGCTCTAGCCACCGAGTCTGGCAGAGTCCATCTGTCGCTGGATAGGCAATTGCAGCCCTAAGGACACGAGGGAGTCCTTGGGCAGGGGATTAGTGAGTCAAACGGGCCTGAGGTTTAAGGACTCCCCGGAGCGGGCATGTATAGAAGCGTCAATACACACATGCATACGTGCGCGTTAGTCTCTCGTGGAGTCCTCCTGAGTCAGCTACTGCGATGCAGAAGCTCATTCACACTTTTAGCCTGTGCAAGTCCCTGCGTGTTTCCACATTCACTAACTTCCGAGGCCGGTCAGGGTCATAAGGAAGATGAAGACGTCGATGACGATGCAACTTGGCTACACCGAAAGCACGGCCATCATCCACCAGCAGCACCTTTCCCCAGCCTTGAGCTCAAGAGAGTGCAGTCTCCAGAAACAGAAAAGAACTCAACAATGGGGCGGCTAAGCAGATGCTAGGGAAGCTGCATAATTAATCATTTTCTTGCCCTACCTCGCTATAAGCCATTGTACCAGGGAAGACCCCAAACAGTATGAGTTTATAAAGGGAAACCCGGAGCCCGGATTCGAGCCACCCTTGCCCACCTATCCAACCCATCACGGCCGATCTTATTCTGAAGATAGAACTCTGAACTCCAAAGCGACTTGCTTCGCTCATCCTCGTTAACTTGATGTCCGCGAGTGGGATTGCTTTGTTCAGCCAGTTTGCGGTGTAGAGCCCCTCATTCCGTAGTCAGAGCAGCTGACCTTACTAGCAAATTAAACCTGCAATCGATTCCAGACTCGATACTTGTCAATTGGTTAGGTATGATGCTGTCGTGATGAACCTAGGCAGACTACACCCTACCCGACCTGCCACACCATGTTGGAATTGAAGAGGTTCCACATGCTGACACTCGTGTGTAGGCTCAGTTTGCCACACATCATACAGACCTGCAGCCCTGTCAAGCTCGATTCTATGCCATGAGCTCAACCGTACCATGCATTTGTAATACACAAAGATGATGTAGTATAACTACTTCATTGCGGAATTTGGCTCTCCACACCTATGTTCGTACGCCTCTGTAGCCGTGTTGTTACTTATACCTGTAAGCATGTACACCTATGTATGATAACACTGACACTGCTGGTACGCAGCTTTCTGGCTAGAGGCCCAGTGTTTGTAAAACCATGTATGTGCGTATACGTATTTGCCATAGACTTTGCTTTGGTTCTCTTTCTTGTAGCAACATCTACATAGCATACGGAAAGCTGAATAGTTATGCATGAGTCATTAGTCATGAGTATAGTAACATACCCAGAACATCAGCACACATGATGGCAAAAGTTAAAGCACGAATGAGTCAGTATATCAGCAAATAGATAGATAGGCAAGTTAATCGATAATGAAGTGGAAGGAAACATAAGCACCAAACGTGTTACAAGGTGATGCAAACTATTGACTACATGTTGATTAGGGCGTCATACACGGTTTTTCTTTCTACGATGTGTATAACATATAGCGCCTACTATATCTTACAAACGACCACATAAACTAGTAGATAAGCACGAGCTATACGTATCGAACAATATACACATGTACCTATTATCTGTGTCGCAAGCTCCGGCACTCGAACCTGTCAGGAATTGGCAGACCCCCAGGCCTCCTACGTCTTCCCAGAGCAGAAATCGCTCCTCAGCTTGGTGTGGAGTCTTCAGGGTGTGGGCGAGTGTGGAGTTTAGGCATTCCACCGCTTCCTCGGACCATTTGGCTACAGTAGCTTTGCTGATTTTGTTTCGGCCCGTCCGTCTTGCTGTCTTACCCCGGTGGGCTCAGCTACCGGACTGTCAGGGTGGAGCAAGCAGCAGGGCTCGACCTGTAGCTGATTTTATCCATGCTGGACACGATTTTCAAAACGTTCAGCCAGAACGGGGCTTGTCCTTCGACAACAGCCCTCTGATAAGCAGGTAAGGGGTTTTGAGATTCAATGAAAACGCATGTCCTTTACTTAGCGTCAAACTCAGCAGGAGTGAGATAGACCTAACGGATCTGACCCTTCAGCCTGAGGTGGTACCTCATGTTCAGTTCTCAGCACCTTGTGCTCCCCTGTTCGATTCCAAGCTGCCCCCCCCATCCAATGCACATCCTAGGAGGTTCAAGACCATCTTCAAGAGATGTGTTTTCAGCTGCTCGGGCCACCAAAAGACGGATGATTGCCGAACCGCCGGTTGTGCTTTCTTTTGAGATTGCGGCTCAGCCCGTCTGGGCGGTATCTGGAGATGATAGATGCCTTGCTTACGGGTCCGGCAGATTTCTAATTGTCGCCTGTCCAACTCTCAGGCCCTCCCTTCCTTGCAGAGCCTTGGGACTGAAGCCACAAGACGCCTCCCAACCCTAAACCCTAAACTGCTGGCATGTTCAGTCCCACAGGAGCGCTGCCCGCTTCCCTGATAACGGGACTGGTGGCTCGGCATCACTTTGGAAGTGGGGCTCGGGACTGCACTTGGCAGTGGCTTTTGGGCATCTCGTCTCTAGTTACTTTTCCGGGATGTGCTCGTTACATTGGGCTTGACCAGTATCTCTCTCATGTTCTCATCGCTTGCCTTCGTGGCGAAAGAAGAAACACTAGCAGTGGTGCAGTCGTCGTCACTGTCGTCGAAGTCGTCGCCGTCTTGAAGGGAGCTTTAAGTTCGACTGTAGACCACGCATGGCAACACCCGGACCTGAAGACAGCTCAACACCTTTTCACGTTGTTGGGGTCGTGTCGACAGCAGCATGGGGGTCATTCCAGCCTGTCAGTTGTCGCAATGGCTCCCGTGCAACCTTTCTGGGAAGCCCTTTCCAAGCACAGGGGCGACTGTGGCGAGCATTTTGCCGGGCAGGTGTTATTTGTTTTCATCATGCTCGTCCACATTGTCAACCTCCGAGAGGACCCGCCGGAAGACTGTAATTGCACCTTGCGGTGCAGCTGGTGCATGCAAGTCTGACCGGTTAAACACGCAGCAAGGACGTCTCCAGAGTTGTTCTGGATTCGCGGCAGGCGTTTAATGACGGGATTTGGGTGCAAGGCGGGCATTCGTACAGTAGCACCGGAGGGCGGGCAACCCCCATACTCAGAACTTCGACAGCTAGAGTCGCAATTGATGTTTGGCAATCCTTCACATGATTTAGGGGCTCTGGGCAACTTAGGGCTTCGGTCCGAGTCTATTCTCGTGAGGACGAACAGCTTGTGGTGCCGACCCTGTACGGCGAGTGGATCAGGCTTGGACGTAAGGCTTTTGCTTCAAGCGCACCCAGCAGAAGAGAAGCGTTACATCCCAATCTCTCGAATGCTGAGAATTTTTATGCTCTTCGAAAAGCAAGATGCTGAATCCAAATCTGGTTAGCAGTTGATCCCAAAGCAAGACGGGCCTGGTACAGGAGAGATCAAGGAGTTGGAGAGTATCACGATCCACGGACCACTCTTGTGTTTGTGACAAGGAGTGCATACTGGCCGAAGGCCCTGAACTCATGTGGTCATGAAACAAGGCAGTATTGAGTGAGTCGTGGTAGGAGTGGAATTGGAGGCAGCATTGCAGGCTAGAGTCTAGAGTCTAGAGCCGTTTTCCCAAAAGGTCATGGGAATCTCAACATTAAATGATACGGAAACTAGGTCCTTACGATAATATAGTATTCCTTTGCGTGGCCCCCGTGGCACTATGTTTTCGTCAAGCCGAGCCCACAAACAGCCGTGCAACAAAAAGCAGTGCAAAGATGAGCTTGTCCAATTGGGCGGTCTTTACTAAGCTCGATACCGAAAAGCCTGGTTACCGCCCCTTGTCTCATGTTGGTACAAGGCCTTTTGTACTCTGCGGCCAGGAACGGACCTGGTACACTGGTGTTTTGGCCACATCAACGGCACGAGGGCTGGGAAACTTGGCTCGATGTCCTGTAAGTTGATTCTTCCCGGCGAATTAAACTTACGCTTGACGATTCGGAGAACGGCTATGGTGATAACACAGCGGTTCCTTTCATTACTGCCATCCTGATCCACATTGCATGTGCTTATAAAGATCATGGTTATCGCCAAGATTTCGTTGAAATATGGCTCATATGCGTAAGGTTGCAGGATGCTAAAGTTAGGTCGTCTTCGACTGTCCAGGTTTCAATTGCCAGTGTGGTTTTAGCTACCTTCAAACTTGTATTTGGCTCTTCAAGTAGACAAGTAGGCTCGCAGGTGCAGTCCTACGAAATCGTTGTTTCCCTCAAGGTTTGAACTCGGATGCATTTTTGTTCAGCTCCCCGGGTACTCTATGCTGATCGTCCGAATTATCATCGGCTCGACTCGTAGTCCTCGAACTGATCATCCTCATCCTACACTTCCTGGTCCTCAACATCCTCAGCACCCATGCCATCCTTGGTTATCGCATGCATGGCGGCTGCCACCGCCCCACCACGCAGGAAATTCGGAAAGTGCCGCGGCTTGCCACGCTAGAGTTTGCTGCCTTGGGCTCAGCATGCAACATGGAGTCCCGAATTCGCCGGATCATGCTGTGAGTTCAGATGGTTTTTAGGTTCAGGGGTGGCGGTTGGCATTTGGGTCCGAATCTCGCATCTCAGTTTGATTTTAACAGGGAGGAGTAGTTTGCATGCATTCTTTCCTGAAGTCGTCGCAGCGTGCACTTCGAACGAAATCTGCCAGAGCCCAGCCCTATCTGCAGCCGGCAAAGACGGGACAGTCAACACACTTGCACCGCACGGCCCTGAACCCCTTACCTTTCCAACATGACCCCACGTATGTAAATCCCTGCTCTGGATGGAGGCCCTGAGAACCCCAAGTCACACTTTGTACCCAGCCCGGCACCTCCCATCCCGAAGAACACCTGGCCCTGAGTTCTGGAAGGCTTTGGCCATCTTTGGCCATGTGACAAAGTGTCCTAATGCCTTTGTTTCAGGGAGACCTCAGTAAGTCTTTAGCGGAGGGGTTCTGATTTCGCATGCCTGTGTAAGCTGCAGCATCCTCGTCTCAAATTGAAGCTGCAGGTCTTGAAGAACCGACGGTCACAGGACCGCTGCCAAAGGGACCCACACGGCCTCGCAGCTGTAACTTGCTCTCAGAGCCTATATACACACATACATATGTATACATCTTTCTTTATTATATATGTATATGTATAAACATACATTGTACAGTAATTGTTGAATTAGCATTAGTTTAGTACAATATAACAATGCATGTGTATATATATATATATGACTCGGCAGACATACATATAATACGAGATACTACCAGACAATATAACATAATGAATGTGTTGTAAGATAGTAGAATATAAGATAGTATAATGAACTCTGGTATGATATAAATAATGTAATGTAATTTTCTAACATAATGTAGTTTAATGTAGTCTAACACAGGATAATACAATATGACATAATACGTTACTCTATAGTATACTATGACCGAGTCTTTGTATAGCCGTATACAACATAATTTAGAATATGATACAGAATCTATTGCTACATAAGAATATATTTCACAATCTTGTTTTTTGGATAGTACTGTTGATGATATAAATCCAGCATTACCTGAAGGACCCTAAACTATGGGAATTATGGTATATTCCTTACTATGGGTAATGCAGGATTTATATCATCAACAGTATTTTGGGGGGTTCCTCACTATAATTATGGTAATCTAATATACCCCAGAACCCTATCAATGTTAAGGCCCCTACATTACAACCGTATTATACAGGTAGAAAAACAAGAGAATTCGCGGCAGGAGCTGCGGCACGTTCTCGGACCTGGCCTCGTTTGGCGGCGCGAGATGGAGGACTTCCGTAGCTGCCGGAGATTCCATTTTTTTTGGAAATTATAGGATGTTTTCTGTTTTTATGTATAATGTTGTGAACTACAATATAGTAAGTACTATACCCCACTACAACGCCCTCGCCTGGATTTGGACCGATTTCGGTATGATTACTCTAGGTTTATGATGACCTAAGTGCGCGTGTTGAGGGTGTGCATAAACACATTCCGGAGAACCATTCAGAAGCCCATCCGAATTCACGGGCTGCCTGCCAGGGCTGTCAGAGCTCGCATGTGAGTTGACTCAGTGCATGCAGCAAACAGCCCGCGCAAGATCAGCTCAGCATCTTCCCCAATGCCACGGCACGGCAGACCAAGCAAGACCTGCCTTTTCTCGACCCAGCTGCTTCTTTCGAACATGTCCGACCCGACTTGCTGCTTGTGGCAGGATGTGGACGCAGTGCGACAGAAGTGTCCAATCTGAGCTTGGTGGGGTGTCTTATTCACTAGGCAGCGCCCTTGGGTATGAATTTCGTGGTGAAGGATTTAGGATTCAAGGTTCATCCTTGATACTCAGAAGGGCCCGAGTGATGCGAGAAGGGCCCGCACTGACTGTAGTCATTAGTCCTTAAGGTGATCTGTTTAGCCCTCGAGCCGGGTTCAGCATGAAGTGGCAGCAGGCTTGCGTGCAGCTGACGGCACGTGAGCATTCAATTAGCTCCTGAGGGCGCATGTGAATCGTGATAGCCATTTCTTGGCGTTAGCTGCTGTGTTGATTCATTATCGCAGCAGGACAGTCGTCATGCAGCGTGTAGCAAGTCACCTGCCGATACACACTCCTTAGCTTGGGATCTGCGGGTCAGAAGAACAAGGGAATCAGCCCGCTGAAGCTAAATTCTGTGTGAAACACTTTCCCTTCGGGCCTTTCTCGCCGCTTCCTGTCTGGGTGCTCGTCATGCTTGCATGCTTGGTCTGCTACCTCATGAGGGCCCTGAAACTACGTTACATGCCACACCATGCTGACCACTCCACTGGCTCCTGACCTTAGGTATGCATCAGGGCTGCGGTTCGAGACAGCAGCAATACGTAAAAGCACCCTGAACATGACATGCCGGTACCTGGCTACACACATTGCGTGATAGCAGATTGCTGTAGTACTGGTCCGTGCTGTGTCCTTAAACTTCAGAGTGCTGCAGGATCCAAAAAGCCTCCAGTGTCCGGCGCAGCCTCAGTTTAGTCCTAGCCCAATGCAGCAAGCCCTTACATGCTGAGGGACCAACCCTTCATCTGTCGAGACTATAGACCTTCTTCATAAAAGGAATGCGCCCGGCACCAGAAGCGTCGTAGTACTTTCATGTCGGCAAGCATACCGTAACTGCTGAATTACACGGCCTGCAAGGGTGGCACGCCGAAAGAAACATAGTGCGTACGTCCCAGTGAGTCTTGATCCCAGGTTTCAGCTCCAGCCGCTCAGTCTGCACGCTTCTACAACTCTACGCCTACCGGTCCTAGAGTATACTAAAACATACTATAACATACTATGACATACTCTTAAACACTTCTATAATATACTATGATGTACACCGTCCGGACAGCAGATGGGGTTCGACAGATTTCTTGTTGCTGCAACCCAACCCGCAAGGGGCTGTAAAGTAGTTGACCTTGCCTCTTAGCTTGCTACCTTGGTCTTTGGCAATGGCAGCGTTTCCCGAAGTGTCGCTTGAAGATTGCAGTCTAAGCAATGGTGTTGTAAGCAGACTATAGCTTCAACGAATCCTAGAGTCCTAAAGATTGCAAACTATGGCTTGGTGATGTGATCACTCTGAGCATGTGTCAAGGAAAACGCAATACCATCGGCTCGTCGACAGCCTGACGGGGGAGGAGCGCGTCGTTCGTGGGCCACTGGTTTATGCGCCCGAGCCACTTGAGCAACTGGCGCCTTCCCATGCAACTTCCTGTGCGACGGTTTGCTATTTTCCAGGGCATCGGACAGGCTTCCGATACTTTATCTCGAGATCTTGCTTATGTCAAGTTAATCACAAACGCCGCGAAGCCGAGCAGCATTTTCAAGCTTTTGTTCGTTTTCTTTGGGGCTGTCAAAGCCGCTCGAGTTGCCCAGCTGTCGCTACACCGCCACAGCCTGATTTTTGTCTCAGATGGGCAGAAAGCCAAGACATTGCCTTTAGAACTTTAGATGTCCAGCTGATTCGGTCTGAGGTCAATGGCACGGAGGAGGCACTGATGATCAATGTTCCTTGCATGCATCTTGGGAGGCTTGTTGCAGCGCCGTGTTTCCGATTGAACCATTTGGAAGAGCTCTTGTTGTTGGACGTTCATCCGAGCAGCTAAGGCGCAAGAGTCTGTTCTTGTTGAAAACAGGACGGGCTAGCAATGAAGAGTCTTCAGGGATGAAGCGTAAACGGCAGGTTGCAATTGCAGAAATACGACTGAGACGGGGTGGGGGGTGTCGAGGAGGCAAGCGTGGAGCGGAGGAACATGAGCAGCAACCGGCGAGATAGTAAGCAGACTGCGCGATCCCCAAAGAGAGCCAGTATATCTATCGCTAGAGAGCCGTGGTTGCCTTTGGACACGCCATGGCGAAGTGAGAACAGCGAGACTAGCTCTGACAACGGTCATGCATGGTGCGAAGACGAAAAGGCAGCAGAGGAAGAGTAGCAGTCAGAGAGACTCTAGCACTAAGGCAGCAAATGAAGATGATCCTAGTCACCGTCTCGTAGCTGTAGTTGTACTCGAACCGTAGCCGAAGTTGTAGTCATCGTCGTCGTAGAAGCAGCCTTAGCACCAGCTGCCGCTGCTGCTGCTGCTGCTGCTGCTGCTGCTGTAGTAGTGCAGTCGTCGTCGGCGCCGTCGTCGTCGTAGTAGTAGTGTTTAGTGGTAGTAGCAGTAGTAGTAGTAGTAGTAGTAGTAGTTGTTGTTGTTGCAGAAGTAGTAGCAGTAGTCGCAGCAGCAGTAGGAACAGTAGTAGCAGCAGCAGCAGCAGCAGCAGCAGCACCAGGAGCAGCAGCTGCAGAACTGGCAACGGTCGCTTCAGCAGTGGCAAGAGTTGCAACGCGATTCCGTTGTACGGATAATTCCAACTTTCTGTTCACTCAGAACCACATCGCAACACTTTGACATGGGCATAGCAAGACTAGACGTAGCAACTACAGAGTTTTGAATGCTGGTTGTGCGTAGAAGTTCTGGCAGTAGCAAAAGGGTTATCTGTCGAAGCATCACGGGAAATTGTAAGTCGTAATCGCCGAAAGCCGTGCAGCAATCGTAGGGACAGCATCACTGCAAAACCGAGCCGAGCACTGGGCTTACCCTGAAGGAGCTCAGGGATACTTCGGGTGGTCGAAGAACGAGGTGGGATGGTGTATGTTTGGCGCAAGTGCGCAACTGTGCCTCGCAAAGCCTTTGTGGCTGCTTGTCTTCTTCTTGCTACAGTAGCACGACACGACGACGACGACTACCACTACTACTCTACTATGAATCTTATTATTGCCTCTGCTTACTACTACTACTACTACTACTACTACTACTACAGCTCCT